AATGTTTCTTTTCAACTTTTCCCAAACTTAGGTGTGGCAACAAATTCGACATGTTTGCGTCACACCTCAAGTTGGTATGGTTCAAATTGATGTGTTTGAAATTCAGAAAACGATGCCATGGAGTGTGTGTGGGTATATATATTCAAAATTTTCCAATCATCACTTTCTGATTTTCACATGTATGTGAACAGGAAACTAGCAGCTCAGTTAGTTGACCCTTTCCAACCTGGGGACTTCAATCAGGCTCTCATGGAGCTTGGTGCAACTGTATGTACCCCATTGAGTCCAAGTTGTCATTCATGTCCTGTATCAGTCCAATGTTGTGCACTATCAATCTCTAGAGCTGATAGTTCAGTGCTGGTTACAGATTATCCAATTAAGGGCGTAAAGGCCAAACAGAGACGTGATTTTTCTGCTGTATGTGTTGTGCAAATATTAAGAGATGAGGAACTGTCAGAGGGACACCGAACCAACAATGGGTTTCTTCTTGTAAAACGGCCTGATGAAGGGTTGCTTGCTGGCCTCTGGGAGTTCCCGTCTGTCTTGCTGGCTGGAGAAGCTGACTTGGTCACTAGGAGAAAGGCAATTGACCAATATTTGAATAAACATTTTAGACTTAACCCCAGAAACACCTGTGACATAGTTTCCAGGGAATATGTTGGAGAAAATGTCCATGTTTTCACTCACATTCGTCTCAAGATGTATGTGGAATTGTTGGTGTTACATCTAAAAGGTTTGATCTATGTCTCTATCTCTTCCCACATGTTGGTAAATTCAATGAACTGTTTCAGAGAAGTATTTGAGAGGCAGCTTGAGGTCAAAGCTGCTGCACACTTGTTTATTAATTCATTAATCTTAAATCACTGGAACCAAAGAATTAAGATTTATCAGAGTAACATTTTGTTAGTTATAGTAGTACAACCTTGCTTCTGGGGATATTCTTATCATAGTTTACTTTTCATTGTTATGAAGGTGGGATGAAGGACCTGGTTAGCAAGCAGGGCAAAGAAACTGTGCCCTGGAAATGTGTGGACGCCGAGGTCCTTTCAACCATGGGATTGACATCCGGTGTAAGAAAGGTGATGTCATACTTCCACAAGTCAAAGGTCCATTGTACAATTTTTTTGGGCCGTTTTTTCATTTCTTAGTTTGGATGATAAAAATCATGTTTATTCCCCCTTTTGAAATATTTTTTATACTAAAGAAGTGATTCTATCAGACATATATGGCTTCATTTTGCTTATTTGATTTTGTTTACATTGTCAATTGAATTTTGTCAAAATCGACTTTAGGAAGATAAACACAGTGGCCCTTAGCTCTAAGTAAAAACTTGAATGTCCAACTAATCTTATATTAGCACCAAAAGAATATGATGAAACAGTTGTTGAATTATTTCTTCTAGTACAGACCTTTTTGTGTTAATTGTAAAAATCTTTTTACATACTCTCTGGTATTGTTAATTGAATCCTGTTGCAGGTTTACACTATGGTTCAAAAATTTAAGCGAGAAACGGTTGCCCTATGATCCTGCCTTGGAAAGCATGAAATGAAAACATGTAAAGCATCTTGAACGAAATAGAATATTCCTG